ACAGCGGTCTTCAACATCTCTTTGACCCTTCCTGCCAGGGAGCCAGTATCCGCAAGGAGTCTTGCAGGACGTCCAAAACCGGCGTTGGTCTTATCGGGCATGCAACCTGCAGCTTATCATATTATCATTCAGAAAGTTCCACTTCTGTACAATCTGGCGCGTGGCCGCTTTGTTTTGGACTTGTCCTCCTTTGCCTAGGCACAAAAAACATGGGTTTCACTTATGGTTCCATTTCCACCTGCCTTTGTTTCCCTTGGGGGAAACACAGAGAGCCCTGCCTTCCCCCCGAGACCCTGGGCAGGCTACGTGCTGTGTGATGCCCCGGAGCTGCTGAGGAACGCCCAGGCCGGGAGCTGCGTTCTCAAAATAGGACAACCCAACAAGTCTGGTTGTCTCAGACGGCGGGTATGGACAGTATAGGGACATTGCTCATGTACCAATTAGTGGGAGGGTTTGCTGATTTGCTCATGTACCAATTAGTTGGTTGGAGTGGGAGGGTTTGCTGATTTGCTCATGTAACATTTTGTTGGTTGGTTTGGGGGGCGGGTGCTGGTGTTCCTTTCGGTTTCCCTGCTTTGCTCTTGTAAGAATTAGTTTGGACGGACTGGGGTGGGGTGGTTTTGAACCCTGGCTGTTTTCTGGAGTGAACTTGGAACCTGTGGCCCTGGCAGATATGCTTTCAGCTAAGCTGGAGGACTGGGCCCATGAAGGTTGTTGCAGTTTGTCGGTTTACGGTTCTGAGCATTACTTTTGGGGATTGGTTCTCCCTTTATTTAATCCACAGAATAGAGAGGGTATTTGTGAGGATGTCGCTTCAATGGACCCAGTGGGAGCAAGAGACACTATGCCCTCCTGGTAGCTATGGCATTTTTTCTACTAGACACGTTCCTGATGCTTGTTGATGACGTTATTGCTAATTCCATGCTTAACCCTTTCAGGGATATGACCGAACGTGCGCAGGCCCAAAAGAGCCCAACCCCTGAGAGAAGGAAGCCAATTAACGCCCAACACCCATCAACTTGGCCAAACATTTCTCAAACAACCAGCACCGTGTCGGTCCCTTGAAGTGTGCCGTGTGAGGCCAATCCGGCGGTGGGCCTGACGCAGGCTCTGAAGGCCCTGGTGCGCGTGCAGGAGATGTGCCAGGCAAGGTGACATGTGCATGGTGTGAGCGGTGTTGACCTTTTTGTTGGGTTGCATCCCTGATCCTTGGAACACTCCCTCAGACTAACACGGAAGCTCCCAGAAGGCCTCTGTAAATGGAACCAAGTATTCCAAAGGGGTCCTGGGAGCTTTTGTGTTTAGCCTGGTAGAGGGAATCCCACAATCATACGCAGCTCAAACGATGGATTTCTTCCAGTCCTTCAAGTTGTTCCTGCAAAATAGGTCCTAGGGTAGGGTTGCCCATTTTGCCCGGAGAGCATGCCAAACCAGGGCCTGGACCCGTACTACCTCCCCAGCTTCGGTGCTGCGGGCCCAGTGAAGGCACTCGAGCGGGCGGTTTGGTCCGGGGGGAAGTCCCCACTAAAAATAGTGAACCCGCGAAAGGGTTTCCTTTTACCATGGTGACTGAACAACTAGAATAAGGGGCTGTTGAGGGATTTTAAACAGAATGAGGGCGGGATCACAGAAGGCGTGAAATTATTGAACGGATGAATTGCTAGCTCCCAACTTTCTACCTGGCTGAAGACTAAGTGTCAAGTCCACTTGAGCTGTTTTGTTGGGGTGGTGCCCTTTTTGATGTCGATATTAGAGGGGGAGGCGGGCAAATTCGGTGGTTGCTAAACGTGTCATTTTTGCAATTTTGAATATGACAAATTGGTTTGATCTGCATAAAGGGAAGTCAACGGGAGAGACACCATGGCTATTTTGACACAGACCCGCTATGCAACAGGTGAATCACTGTTTTTGCTTGTGATTGTTTTATTATCTCAGATTAGGGGACCCTCAAAAGCCGGGGTTTCCATTTGTTTCCCAATCTCAAATGAGATGCTCCGATTCTCAATAGTTCTTTGTCCCGAACTGTTGCGTGACCCCACCTGTAACCCCACTATCTATCAACCATAGCAAGAGAATTATTTGCCGGAGCCTGCCCACATGGATATGGCGATGCCTGCTCTGTCAAGTGACTTTGCTTGGCATTTTTGGAGGTCCTTTCACGGCTATTGGGTCCCTGTCTGAAGAACGCGTCAGTCGCTTGGATGCCGGTGCCCTAATATCTCCCTGCACCCAAAATCATTGCTCTTGCTGCTTTCTTGGGGAGGGGAAGGGCTAAGTTTCATTTCCGACTGGGTGCGAAAATCCTAATATTATTTGTATAAGTGTGGTTTTCCATGAGGGAACTGGCATTCGGTTGTTTGGTCTTGCAAGACCTTCCTTTTGTCAGCCTGCTTTGAGTCTGAGTCCGTAAGCCGCATTCCGGTTGAGCCCTCTTGTTGTGTACTCGTGTCCTCTTTGTGTATCCTAGCACAACAAATGCGTGCCTGCACCTTCCAAGACCTGTCGAATTGACCCACGTCCAAAGAAAAGAGCAGGCACTTCGGGTGCCATTTAATGATCCTGGGAAGCTGCGCTCCCATTTCCTAATTCACCCCTAAACTCCACCTCAAACCCAGCATCCACCTAAACCCAAACTAAACCTACCCTCCCACCCTACACCCAAACCCACCCACTCGTGACACGTTTGCGTCACGTTCGTGTAAGCTCCGCCAGGCCTACGTGCACCTGAGGGAGCTGGCGCTGTTGGCGCGTGAGGCGGGTATGGGCGGGTGCAAGGGCCATATTTGTCAACCCCAGTTTATTAGTAGGGGGGTGTCCATTTCTGGGTTAGGTGGTTGGAATCAGACCACTTTTGGAGGGGAACACCTCCCAAGTAATTAACTGGCATTGATTAATATGGGGTCATCATTCCTTGGTGTCTTTTTTTGGAGGGTTGTAAAAACCTGCAACTGTTGGCTCCCAAGGCTTCGAACCACTTTGGGGACATTTGATTCCTCCCTGCAACTGGGGGGGGCATCATCAAGATCGACAGTTTTTCTCATTGAGTCCTTTACCCTCAACAAGACCTTTCTCACAAAAGGGGTTTCATGTCAGTGGGAGGGACAGTGCCTTGGACGGCGGCTGCCTTGCAAACCGGGTATATACCGGCTTACAAGCCAATTTGTGTACGTACATGAGCCCTCCCATACCACCACCAACCCCATTATATATATATATAGATATCCTTTTTTCAGCAAAGCCTGTTCAAGCAGACCGTTTTGTTTTCCAAAGCCACTTTCAAGCTTTGTCAGCTTCCATTGTTAAGGGTCACCGAAAATGGTGTTGGAACCAAAGGAGGCGGCCCCTAGTAGTGTTGAAACAAGGCCCTCTAGGGTTTTCACCTCCCCCCCCCAGGGGAACATCGCATACTAAGGTTACTACACCTTTCACATAGTGGTTGTATCCCCTTCCATTTTGCCTTGTGTGGTGGGTTGGGGGGTTGGGGTCAGACCCCCCCGCCTCTCGCAACCCGGCGACGGAGGCTGGGCCTTCCTCACAGGATTTCTCCCTGGCGGAGCTGAAGGTGGGGGTTGCGGAGCGTTTGATGGGTTTCCAGGGTCACAAATCGTCATCCCAGAAACCTGTCATAGTGGGTCACCCTTCCATCCATTTTCGTTTTGGTTTTGGTGGCAAGCCCTTGGTTACCTATACAGGTAAATGGATCCACTCGGCTACTTGGACCCAAATGGGGGCTCAACGCCGTGCCAGTTTTGGGGTGAACCCAAGAGGGATATGCCCAGATGTCCCCAACAACCCCCGCAACACGTAACAGAATAGCCCAGACTCCAGAACCCTAACCCCCTCAGTCAGAACCTTGTCGAAGGTTCTAAGAGGCTATCATTCTCGAACAGGGGCCCTTAGGGGAGCAGTTTTTGTTTGGTGTCCCTTCAAACACAATCCCAATGCCCCAATGCTCGGACACAGCAGGAGTGGTTTCCCTATGCCCCGTGTCCACAATGGGTCCTCGACAAAGATTTGTTCCACTGTTTTCAGAGAGTTCCACCCTGTAAATCCGTTTTTGTTTGGCAAGTTCCCCACGACAAACTGTTCCTGGCCCCAAAAAGGGTTTTCTGTCCAGGTCACTGGTTACAACCGGGTTTTGAGGGTACCCTGGTTGAGGTTATTTTAGAGGAAGAACCCCCAGGGTTCCCCGAATCAACGACAAACCTATGCAGATCCCGCCTTATGCGGGTCATAGTCCAGGTATGTCCAGGTTTCGTTGATGGGAATCTGGATCCCCTTTAGGGTTGATGACCATCCACACAAAACCAAGTACAAGGGTGCTTTGATTATTTGTTGGGTAGAAGTCGAGTCGCCGGGGGTGTATTTTCTACTGTGCCCTCAGTGAAAAACGGGACACATAACGGTATATACCATGTATACTGGTATATCCTGGCTGCGTATCCCGTGGTTCTGGCCGCTTCTGCATTTGCGAGGTGAGCGCAGAGCACGGGGAGAACCGGAGCTACACGGTCCAGGCCGGGAGAGCTGGCGGAAATTGCGGATCGATTCGCACAAGTGGATGGTTTGTTCCGGGGAGTTCATCCATCATGACTGAGTATGGATCCACATTTCGGGGGGGGTCGGAATCCCTCACTTGCAGCCTGTGGGTCCCCGTGGTTCAGGGTCCCGGGATACCTTTTGGCCAGTTGACATTGCGCAGTCCCAACAGGAATCCACATGTTGTTGTGTTTTTTTCTCCCAAAAGGTTTCAACAGGGGATGGGTGATTGTGGTCGACTTGTTTTTTGCAGACCTCCTATTTGGCACCCAGTGGTGCAAGTGGGGAAGAAGCAGCGAGAAAGCCTAGACTGCCAGCGGGACGTTTCCCATTTGCAACTATGTTGCAAGGTCTTAGATTTAAAGGCAACTATCCAAACAACGGGGATCCTTTCTTCTCACGGAAATCCACTGGAGCGCCGAGCACACTTACGTTTGCAAGGCATGTGTCTGCAAATCACAAAGGATTCGGCCCAAGATTTGGGCAAAGGTGAAGTGCGCCCCTTGCCATGGCGCAAGCGGCGCAAGAGCTTGTGAACGCTGTTCTGCGGCAAGCGGTCAAAAACCACACTGCCGAGGTCGTGCAAGACCTGATTGAAAAGCACGGGTGTAACCCGAATCAGACGACCTCCGTGGGCGGCACGCTGCTCCATGAGGTGGCTTTGCATGGGAACCAAGCGCAGGCGTTGCGCATCGCTAAGCTCTTGGTCAGCCACGGCGTGCAGGCGACGCAAGAGGACAAGAGCCGCCGCACAGCCATGTTTCCAGCAGCAAAGGCTGGGAACATTCAGCTCTGCGAATTCCTGCTAGGGCAGGGTTGTAGTGTAGATCACAAGGATCTAGGACATCAATCCCCTCTTTTTTACTCCTCGCGCCACGGGCACGTGGACTTGTCACAGCTGTTGCTCACCCGGGGCGCAGATTTGAACGCCGCCGACAGCAATGGCTACACGCCTGTCTTCTGGGCTGCTCATGATGACAGGGTCAACATGATGAAATTCCTGGTGGAGAAGGGCGCAAACCCCAAGATTCTGGCCAAGAATGGCAAGAGCCTACTGTTCTCAGCGACTGGCGGGGCAGCTGCCTATGCTTTGGAGTTGGGATGCGACCCACAGCAGCAGGACCAACTTGGTCAGACGCCAATCTTTCGGGCTGTCAAGGAGGATGATCCGCAGAAGGTCAAGCTGCTCGTAAACAATGGTGCGGATGTGGATGCGCAGGACAAGATTGGCCAGACAAGCCTTTTTTACGCGGCCAACCTCGGCCTCAAGGAGATGGTGACGCTGTTGTGCTCGCATTTGAAGGCCAGCACGCTGCACCGAGATATGAAGGGCTTCTCTGCCAAGGAATATGCCAAGCAGCACAGCAAGGCAACCAACCTCGCAGCATGCACCAAGATCCTGCAGGCCCATGAAACCAAGCAACGCCTTGCAGCTCAAAAGGAGCTGAGGCGCATTGCCAGGGAGCGCGCTCGGAAGGCGGCGGAGGAAAGGGGGGGGCCCAGCCCGCCGCCGGCTTCCTCCAGCCGAAAGCGGCCACGCGAGGAGGAGCAGGACGTGGCGCGCACAAAGTACTACCTGGCGTTCTTCGAGGAGGGGCAGGAGATCCCCTGGAACTCGCACAAGTACACAGAGAACTTCAGACAGCTTTCGCTCAGATGTCCTTGGGTGGAGCCAGGGCCACAGCGATGAGTCGCAATGAGAGAACCAGCCAACAGGCCAACAGGGCAGGTGTTGCACAGAAGACACCGTATCTACACATAGTAGATGAACGTGTGCATTACAGCTGAACAAAGCGGGGTGGATCGGGGTGGTGCAGTCAACAAAAGCACCAAAAGGATGGCATCCCAAAGGGACTGAAAAAGGTGGCCTAGTTAGAGGACCCAAATCATTACACAAGTTGTTCTTTTTTCATGGCGTGTGCGTTTTAGCCTGCAAAGCCACTTGTGGATAGCACGTTGGTACTGGGTCACTTGTGTCTTCCCTTTCCAGCACAACTTCAGCTGCACTGTCGCGGGTACCTGAGTTGGGTTTGGTGCCCTTGGACATCTTAGGTTCCAAGCCCTCTTTACAAGAAGATCCCATGCGGACAGAACAGATGCAGTTGGTTTAGCCCAGTATTGATGGGAAGTTTTGTCCATCCCAACTGGTGCATGGGTTTGCCCATGTAACCTGATCTCAGAGTCGCCTAGCGGGAGAGGGCAGCAGCCCAAAGACAAGGGCGCTGGGTAACTGGGCGTCCAGGTGATGCAGCAGAAGGGTGCCGACAAGTTTTATGCAGACGAGCCGGGCACCACGAAACGGGAGGGATGCCTTCGCAACCAGCACCTGTTGTGTTTTTTCTTTTTTGGGTTTGTTTTTTCCCATGTTCAGCAGCTGAGATGCCTCGTTGGCTGCACTTGGGGCTTCGGACCAGAGGGGAAGCAGTTCTTGGGTGCCGAAAATGAGCAGGGACATGGATGACCATGTTTGTTCAACCAAAGGACCGTAAATGAGTGGGTTGGAGGTTTCCAAGAACCAGCCAGCACTGGCGATCACTTCTGCAGGTGTTTTGTTCTTTGAGGTGGTTTGTAAGGGGAATTTAACAGGACCTGCCTGATTGTTGCGTTCAGAGGCACGCCCATGTGTTTTATTCGTTTTTAGGAAGCAACCCTGCTTCCTGCCTGAGCTGGGCCATTCACCTTGAGGCGACGATTCCTAAACTCCCGACTTCCTGGCTGAGCATGTTTTTCGCGGGTGGTAGTGAATCCGAACAGGTTGGGGTTCAGACCCTGGCTGGCATGTTCGGTAATTTACTACTGACCGGGGCTGTGTTATGACCACGGCCCTCTCTTTCTCTGTTTAAGTTTCTCAGCCAGGGCCCTTGGAACGACTGCCATGGTAACTCGCAACAGTCGACCCATCCAAATTTCCCAGAATGGCCGGGCCAGTTTTCCCAAGCAGAAAACTGTTCCCAAGCAGAAAACTGGTTTGTCATGGGCTATGGGAGAAGCAGCCCTTGGAAATCCCGAGCGAGCTCGTGGCCATCCGGAATGTGTGCCAACCTGATCCGATTTGGCTTCTAAGAGCAGCCCAAAGGCTTCAAGCGTGTTTAGACATGGGCTTCCGTGGTTTAAACGAGGGATTGGCCCGCCGGACCTGTTCCGCAATGGAAGCGCTCAACCAGTGAGTCTTTGACAGAAGGCTCTTCCCCATTTCTTTGTCGAAAGGCTCCCCAGAAACGGCTGTGATGGTGTGGGCTGGCGAAGGTCGAACTCTCGGAGGAATTCAAAATCGTCCCCGATGAAACTGCTGTGCAATGATGACATGCATAAATCGGGAAGTGTACCAAGTTGTTTAGGTTAAAGCAGCCATCATGTTTTCTTCGGGATATGGTTTGGGCCCCGCTATTTGTTTTTGTTTGGGGGCGGGGTCTGTGGATCGTCAGCGCAGGCTTGGCTTCCTTAATTAGTCCACTGTTGGTTTTTGGAGGATAAGGACAACCCAAAAGTCCCCCTAAAGGTCCAAGTACCTCCTAAGGATGCCTTTCAACCCCTCTAATCAGTGGGTACAATGGGACACGTTGGGTCCAATGTCCTTCAGCAAAGTTCGTTTTGTCCCGGGCTGCCATCCCCTGTCGCCGTTAGGTCCCGAGGTAGATGCTCTTGCTGCTGCCGAGTAGTGCGGCTTCAACCCCAGACAACGCTTCGGGAGCGGCGACTTACAAAGCGAGTCCAAAGGAACTTCTGGTTATGGAAACCATCCAAGAACCACATATGTTCTATTTAGAGCACTTCTCTTTACGGCAGAGACCCAAGCAGGACATGGTGATGACGTGTGCACGAAGTATTTGCGAGCTCACCGATTCAAGGCGGCAACATTGGCAAAACGATGAAGGCCGCGCAGGGCTTTTCAGTTTAACTGTGTGAACTTGGTACTGTAACTGGTGTTGATTCGGATGAATCTGGAGGAGCCCATAAGTCAGAAGAGGTGCTCCCAAAACAGACATGTTCCTTTCTAGAAGGGCAGCCGCCCTTAGTACGGTCCTCCTGATTAAGATTAGTACTGAACGGGTGCGAATCCCAAACCGGGTCTTGGCTCTGGCCTTTCTCAACGAGGCTTGCGGTATTAATGTGGCTTCTGTTATGACCCCATGCGCAACAGTACCCCTGTTTGGAAAGACCAATTTAGTGACTGTGGGTCTAAGCTGCCATCAGCCACTGATGAGGGCAGGGTTTCAACCAACCGTGCTTTTTTGGGGTATCTTCTCTGAGAGAGGGTTCTTGAATGGGCAGCCCGACCATTTTTTTCACATGTTTAAAGGAGAGCATTTAGCCCCCTTTGCCAGTGTGTGCAGTTTGCAATTTGTGTGTATGTTTGGTTTTCAGGGTACCCTGATTGGTATGCAGTGTTAAAAGGGAACTAGCAGGAAAGCAACCACTTTTGCGGGGGTTCTCCTATGGTGAGACAACCCCTCGATTTGTTTCACCCATGATTTCCGAGCAACCACTGAATTGCATGGGATGCATGGTTTTCTCAACCACTTTCTGATCAGATGGATGAAAAGACTTGAGGAAGCTAGAATTATCCACCGTTTCTGAGAGGGGGCCATGCCCAAATCACACTCGTTGCCGACATTCTGCTTCACACCATCAAGTTCTTTCCATTTAGTTAAGGCCACGTTTCCGTTCTTTCATATCAGGCCTGGTGCTTGCGTGAACCCACTCAAATTCAAGGAGGTTCAAGCCGTGGTGACCCAAGCAGAGGGTATGGCTTAGATGCGCCTGTGGACGCAGCCCTGGAAGGGAACAAAAAGAGTACAGACACAGCACCAAACAGAGGGGATCTGGATTGGAACAGGTGGAATGCATCCATTTGGGTTGAACCGGGTCAACAAGGGATTGAACATGGGTTGGACTCAGTTTTCTAGAGCATGACCCGGGTCGAAAAGGCCATCTCACCTTTTGTCCCAGGTGTTTCTTGCTCTTCCTCTTGCTGATTCTTTTTGCGAGCGCCCCAGAGAGACTTTGACCAGCCCATGTGCCTCAGCGTGGAGGAATTAATGCAGAAGGTTCAATCGCCGGTGCCCACCCTGAAACCCGCCCTCATCCGAAACCCACCCTGGGCTGTTCTCCCAAAGGGTTTTGTTTATTGAAACCAACAAGATTGATCAACATGGGCTTCCGGCTTCCGGCAACGACTGCACACTCTGAGCCCTGCATAGTCTGGTTTCCACTGCTTGGCATCTTAGAGGCATGACGCGGGAAATGCTAAGGGAATCCGTCAATTGATTGTTGTCTCACTCCGTAAGCTCCTGTGACCCCAACTTGCAGCACCCGCTACTCCATGCGGCTATGAGGTTGAAATAACCTCCCAAATGGGTTCCCCACGGAAATGATGTCCACCAAAGATCCCCAATGAAAAAAGTCATACCCATGCAATTAAAGTGGCTGACTTGCTGTTGGTGGTACCAAAGACCAAAGTGGCCTATCCTGTAGAGCACACACACTGAGTTGATTGGCCAAAATCCGCCTTGACTCATGTTGGTTGAAAGCCGGAGGGCTTGTGGGGTGGGTTAGGGGGGGATGGAACTTATCACATAAAATATGTAGAACAACTGAGATTTGGAGACAAAGCCTGCCATGCCAGCATTCAACTGAATACCATTGGCAGTTCATTGCTGGTTTGGGGAGGCGACGCAGGGGGGACAACCCACCTCTCCCGCACAACAACAGCAGATCCACTTGGTGTTCTCACGTCGATTTGGGAAATCAAGTAATAGAGCAACATGGGTCGACCAATGCATGTAGGCCCTTTAGCCCCCCCCCGCCCGCCTCAAAAGTTGCATACTCTTGCCCAAGTTATGTGCATTTCTTGCGCTTTTGGATTTGCTTTTTTTCCCCTACCAGCAACATGTTCACGCAGAGCAGGTCGGATCAGTCTTGGCAAGTCAAATGGTAAGTTCCCAGGGCTGATTCCCATTTCTAAGAAGGATGCCAGCGAGGCATGGGAAAGTTGCTCGAAAGCTTCCTGTTTCTCATTCACCGTTTCTTGAGGCGGAAAAGAGCCTTAACTGAATTGAACCCAGATCGATCTCGGCTTGGATTTTGCTCCCAGGTGGCTCCGGCCGGGTCCCCGGCGGCTTGTCGGTCTCGGTTTTGGACACCGAAGCTACCGGGACCCAGGAGTCAACGATGCTTCAGCAAGCTGGGAGGGGTGAAACGAGCTATGGTGCAAGTCCTTTACTTGGAATCTCTTATGTCAGGTTTTCGAGTTATGTCAGAATGATTTATATTGACAATTGCTATCCTTTGTATTATAGTGATTGTACATCCCATTTCACTACTGGGGGTCAACGGTTTGGGGGTAGTGAAAGCTTCTGGCCAGTGAGCTGAGAAGCTCAGCTTGGCAGTGCAGACCCAAGTAGCTTCATTTTTTCGCCTAGCTACCAGCAAGTTGCCACCCTTTGCAGGGGTCAAAGTTTGGCCAAGCTAGATGGGCCTGGAGTTAGTTATATATATGGGTAACGCTTGTTGCACGGCAATGCACGCGGTCAAATGGGGCTTGTCGATTCAGGCGGCCGAGCACAGAGTAGCATGTTCATGCTCAGAGGCAGTGCAGAGCGCTAGACATCAGTGAAGCATTTGCCGCAGCAGCAACTCACTGCATGTGACGTTGCCAGACGACGCAGGGGTGCTCTTGTGCCGCGACGAGAGCCCCAATTTCGAGACACCCTCCATCTTCATTTCAGGTGTGAAACTTTCGGTCCTACTCAGTACAAAGACCCTAGCATGGGTGATGCCCTGAACATGGCAATC